AACTGTAAACGAGGAGACATACCAATAGGAAATGAAGCATCAGTAGTAATTTGTGATAATTTTGCACAATGCAAAGCATTAAAAAAACACATTTAAATATCAAAATATTTCAGTGTCTTAATTAAATTATTTTATTGTAGTTACATTAAATGATTGGTGTTGTGCTGCTGTGACTTTACATGAGCAGGCTCACTATTGACTGATTCAGAGGTTGAGGTCAGCCATTTTGTGTTGACATCATTGTAGTCCTTAGTTCACAACACTTAAGTATCACCTCAGTCAACACTTAAGAATCAGTCTTAGACTTTACTGAAAGCTGCTTTTAGCTTCTTTATAAAAGTCTCCTACTCTTAGAAAAGTCCTACTTTTTACTACGAATTTTTTGACACAAGTCAAAGCATAAGACTATTCTTAAGAGCATTTCTGAGAAGTTTTATACATATGGGCCCTAGTCTTGCGCAATCTGACTCGAACCTGAGATGCAACACTCCCACCTAGAGGTCAGTCAATCTTAGATACATGGCAAGTCACATGCTATATCTCCATGTGGGGCTATTCTATGTGCTCTCGCTTTCCAACACCTACATATTCCCTAAGAAGGTGTAGAAAGGTGGAGAAAGTAAAGCCAAATGGAAAGTGTCAAGTCATGGCATGGATAGCATTCCAGAGCCTGGCTCCTGCATGCCGGCCAGAGGCCTATTTATATTGACAGGATGAGGCCCGGGTGCAGTGGCAGAGGGAGAAGGATGAGGCTTTGCATTTCCAGTGTGCAGCCACCACGTCCGTGGAGTCTAAGTGTGTCTCCGTCCCCTTTCATTATGCAACCCCATGTGGGCAGAAAATCCCCATTTACTGTTGCCCCTCTCCAGCTCAACGTCAAACCTCCTGTTGCTGGGGTGGAAAACAGTGTGTGTTGTACAGATCAGAGCACACAGAGCTCTGTGTTTATGCACTCAAACTCACAGAATATTAAACATCTGAACCCAGGCTATAAATCTCACAATTTTAACTTGAAAATTTGACCCTGCTTTTTTGACCCTACTGGGCAAAATGATTGCTATACTTTTTCCCTCAGATCATCTACATCATTTCTATAATAACAACTGATAAGATCAGGCTAAACTTACTAACTTACATGCTGGTTCAGACTGGTTTATTGTGGTTAGAGTTGGATTAATGCTAGTCTAGCTAGTGAATGCATTTTACTATAGCAAAACTAAAACCTGTTTCATGCCACATGTCTTCAACGCATAATCTAATCAAATTAACTGTTTGCAACATTCACATTGCCTGTGTAAGCAACTTAAAAATATGGTGAAAATGCACAATAAACCCATTTATCATCAAAATATTTTGCAATAGAGGATTTTAAGAAGCAACATACAAAATTGGAAATAATTCACACATTATTTCATTTACATTAGGCTCACAAGCAGCACTTTCAGTTTGGTAAATTTGATTGAATTCAGATAAGCAGTGTATGACTACACTTGATCACACTCTGTAGAGTTTAATTACTATTTGGATGTAAATTTAGTGCTTCTCCTTATGTAAATTAGATTTCAATTAGTCATCATTAATTTAGTTTTTAATTGAATTTTTTTTTATTCAAGTGTGAAAATACTGTACAATGAAAATTCTGTCTGTTGCAGTTACAATAAATAGTGCTGCATACAGTATGTGATGCTAATACAACAATTACAACAAAAAACAGCTGGTCTATTCCGCATGGGTCTCTATACAGTATATTCCCTGCCACACAAAAATACATACCCAACTAACAAAAATGTTCTAAGAACATTCTGCTAACACGAACATTTTATTTCTGAATGTTCTCTTAACATTCAAAACATCCAGATTTTAAAATATATATATTTTTAATTAACTTTTTTCTTGGTTATGCGAATGTTATCATTCCATTTTATCATTTTGCAAACATTATGGGGACATTACTTTTGAATGATCTCTCAACAATCTGAAACAAGGAGTAAAATATACAAAATGTTAGACAAATGTCCAAGTAAGATGCTTCAAGAAAAAAAGTCACATTTAAGAAAGTTATTTCCCTTAACCAGGAAATTAACGTTCTTAGAATTGACAAGACAGTTGACCCTGAGAGGTCAGCTAAATATCTACAGCGGATCTAAAATATGAATAGTTAATTATAACTAGTTATGGTTAATTATTCATATTTCCTGTCATGAGCTGATTTGTTACATTAACAATGTATAAATTCATAAATTTTTGTTCTAACCTTTAGAGAACATTATTAAAAGCCAGATAACATTGAATGAACATTCTGATAACATTACAGGAAGAACGTTTGTTCATAATTTTGAGAGAAGCTTGCCTTGAACCTTGAACATTAGCCAAAGATCTGAGATCATTCGCTGTTGGATGAGTATAATCATCATTATAATCACTGTATTTACACATTTACGCTTGAAAAAAAACCATCTTGGTTTCTATCCCATCCCATTCTTTTGTTCATTTCAGTTCTCAAATTTTAAATGTATATCTAACTTTTTTTTTTAATTTGGAGATTCTATTTAAAAAGCTGGTCAGCCGCTGCTCACTCCACAAGGTTTGTGTCAGTATCTGTTTATTTCCACTGCTGAATATCCACTGGGATTGTTGACAGTGGAAACAACAACAACAACAGACTTACATGCGAGTAGAAACAACGTCAATAAGCATCACATTAAGGTAACCATCTGACTGATAGCGACTGGTTGTTCAAAGAATATTTCCTCAGTGTTATCAGCGGAGTAGAGAGATCAGCTCTAATGAAAATGACCTTTTAAAACCACTAAGGGAAGGTGTTGAGTTGCACTTTTAATTTTAATGAGAGGGATAGGGCTAGCAGATTAACAAAAGAGCTGGAGAGTTCACAGACCTCATCACTTCTTTGCAAGACATAATGAGCTCCAAGACACCAGCAGTTACTGGAATGAAAGCATCTACTAAATGCAAGTAAATATCCAACTCAAACAGCAGCAACATGATTCTTAAGGTGGGTAATGGGACCACACAGACATGTCTTTGATCTGTTTGCCACCACTAATTTCCACTTTGGACACTATGCCCACACACACTGTGGAACATCCCTCTCAAGTAGCAGTTCACCATCAAGAATATCTCTGAAACATCTGTACACACATAACATGCTCTCTCAGATGATCTCCCCTGATCTCCTCTCAGTGCAACCATCTCAATAATGTGTGTGCTTTATAGGCAAACAATGATGAATTTCAACATTGCAATGCCAAAATGGAGAAAATATGGTAGATCTGATCTAGTATGATATTTGAGTTGTTTAGACCATCAACAAATAAATGGTAAGATGTCTAGTGAGCTTAAATTTATAGAAAGTAGAGACATTGATAAGGTTATGTTCAGTGTCTGATTTATGGGGGGGTTTGGAAGGGCTCTGATCCCACTAATTAACACTTGAACTCCCCAAAGGAAGTCAAAACAAAAGCTCTTATATGTATTGTTTTATTATATGTTTTGGATGGTAAATCTACAAAATATAAGTATTGTCATTGTCACTTTAGTTTTGTACAGCACAAACATATATAAAGATTTGCATTGCACAAGAACCTCAAACAATTACTGACAACAATTCTATTTAAAAGTCGACTCTCCTGAAAGTCATTGAATAATTCATACACTCCCTTTGTGTTTGTGTTCCTCTGGAACATTTGCAGGAATCATTCTGAGGTTACACAGTACTGAGGAGTCACTTGCAGGAGGGACTGAGTTTGGCGCCGCACCAGCAAGACTGCAGCGGTATCACTAAAAATAGCATCTGTTTGTTTGTTAACCTTCCAGAGTTGGCAGGAAAAAATATCAAATTTCTGAATCACCAAGCAAAAGTGGCATCATAACTGTCTTGCTCACTGTCTAAGATCTCATTCACACAGTAAACAATGCAGTTTATTCTAATAGCAAGTAATCTATGCCAGGAACAGACCGTTTCTCCCTTACACAGGCTTGATGAATAAAAAAGGACATGAAGTTCATAAAAATTTCCTAACGTTTTCCTCATATGACACAATTTAGTTCTATTTTATACCCAGTATGTTTTTGTCGGTGCAACAGAGCTGAGAATAGACAGAGAATGGCATTTTCAAGCCATAGATTCCCCTGAGAATTTTCCTTTTCTTTTTAAAAATGTTATTTAATTATTATAATGTTACTTCAAGAAATTTTCAAATGACATAACCACAACAAATTACCACAAATGAGAATTTTGAAAACACTTTGTACTTTAAAAAGTTCCTAACAAGTTGCTAATTGACATCATGACAGTCGGGTTCCGGTAGTAAAAATCCCATTCATAATGTCTAAGGGAGTTGATCTTGAACAATAACTTATAAACCTTCATACAGACCCACTGTAAGCTACAAGGTTGTTAACTGATGGTATATGATTTTGTTGAAGGAATTCTTCAACAGTCAGAGAATCGCGACAAGCAACTTGCGCCAGAAGAACACTTTAGTGCCCACCCACTCCCATGAAGTACTAAAAATGACATAGGCTGTATCGAAAACGCCCTCCTATAGCCTCATTCACTATTCCCTCCTCCAATAATACAGTCCACTGATTGCTGTGAATGCCTTCTGGTAGACACAGGAAATTCCGACATTTCTTCCAAATTTCCAAATACTTTTTTGCTTCAAATCAAAGATTGTAATGTTGTGATTCACCTTGTAGCTTGTTGGTTTGGTTCATGGATTTTAACTCTTTCACAGACTTAAAAAAAAAAAATAAAAATACCCATGAAAAAAATTAATGAAAAAAACTTCTGGAACCAAGGCTGCTGTAAAAGTGTACAGGCACTGTTGCACTTTAAACTAGGCCATGCCTAAACTTCAATACTGCTATTCCACAATGTCTGCTTTCATAGACGCTATTAGGTACATTTAAGACAACAACACAACCCAATGCTAAGGGATACTGGCAATACCTGAGTAGCATAAACCAGGTTATCCTACCTGACTAGTGGAAGGGGGTTTCCAGTCACTCTGCATTCAAGGCGAATAGGGCTTCCTTCTGCCACTTCCTGGCTCTTCAGTTTCTGGGTGAAGTGTGGAGGAGCCATGGGTCCATCTAGACTTACCCCTCGGCCCTGATGCTCATCAGACCCAACATCAGCCAGTCCCTGGTGCATACTTTCCTGCTGGGGCTCAGATGAAGATGAAGAGGATGAAGGTGGCTGAGCCTGCTGTATGGCCAGCCGGTGGCTCCTTGGAGACAAGTAGCCACTGTCGGGCGAAGAGGAGTCTTCATCACCTTGCTGATCCACACGTGTGGAGCCTTTGAAGATGGAAGAGAGCTCCTCAATGAAGGTAGCAGCTCGGCTGCAGAACTCGGTAGCTGAAGCAGCTCGTTCATTGAGCTCTAGGCCTCCGTGGACCAGCCGGGGACGGTCCTGCTTATATACTGGTGTGATGGATTTTTGGCAGACAAACTTTTCGGGTGATTCAAGAGCAGTGCAGGGCTGATTAGGCCTGCTGAGTGGCATGCTCTGATTGGATGTGACTTTACTTGATGTGGCGTCAGTTGACTGAGATGCTGAATCTGGGAGAGAGGGGTCTTTGGTTTCTGAGTAAAGGGGCAGGTGCTCTGTGGGAACGGGGGGTTCATCTTGGTCATTTGGGTCATCTGCATCACTCATGGCCTCACGAGCCAGGTCCAGACTGAGGCTGATCTCGTCCTGGCTCAGGAAAGCAGAAAGTTCTGGAAAGTCCCCGTCCCCACTCTCTAACTCAGCCATTGAGGCCAAGTAAACCTCGCCATCAAGAGGTGGCACTGAAAGCATTCCCCCATCCCCCTCCAAAGATACGCCCCCTGGAGGACACGCCTCTTTCATCAGCAGAGAGATGGGGAGTGTGTCATTCCAGCTCCCGTCCTGCATCCTGCAATACACAAATCACAAAAGAGAAAAGTGAGAATAAAATTGCAGACCATCTTATTTAAAATTTTTTTTAAAGATCAGGAATATCAGAATCATAGTCCTAAAGACAAGCAATTTCTGCAATTTAAGCCACATTCATGCACTTAAAATTTGAGATTGATCATGGACAGTTGTTGTATGATGACTCAGGCTGGCATACTTTGGGCACAGTTGTCCAGCATTAACAAAGGCTTGTCATGAGGCCCAACAAGGCATGAATGCCATTTAACACTCATGCTGACTTTATCTCTTTTATTCCCTTGTCTATCATCTACTCTTCACTGTCCCTGCATCAATCTATATCTATTTTTTCAGTGCCGTCACCCAGCACTGGAGTAATGGTTGCTGAAAATTCAGCTTTGGCACCACAGGAATAAATTACATTTTAAAACATATTAAAATAGAAAGCTGTTATTTTAATTTTTAATAATATTTCACAATATCATAATTTATGCTGTACATTTGATCAAATAAATAAAGCCTCAGTGAGCATAAGAGAGTTCTTTCAAAAACACCAAAAGGCCACTTTTGAACGGTATTGTATATGAATAAAAATAATGACATTACTTATTTAGAAGTAGATATTTTTTATGTAAACATATAGGCCTAAATAAAACATTGTATATAAATATATAGCAGTATTTTGTGTATGATGGTAGGTTGTCTAGGTTGTCTAGGTTTCAGGAAGGGTTTTAAGTTTGCTTTATGATTGAAAAATATTGCTTCATCACTTTTGAGAAAAACACATTTAAATCCAACAGTGAATGATGGTATCCTCAATAACCTGTGGAGAGGATCCTTCGCCATAATTCAGGGGAAGTGTTTGGTCTGACATACTGCACACTGGTGAAACATTAATATGAGACAGTGTCTACAGCATAGCGAAGCCCTTCTACCAACAGATCAGGTCTCTGAGAAAACACACCTCAGCGTGCAGAACTGGGAACTGGCTGGTGTGTGTGAACACTACATTCACATGTCTGAGACACATTAATGTGACCCTACTAACTTTATGACTACATTTCCACTGTAAACTTTGTTTACACATGTATATTTATTATTTATGGCCTATTAATTGATGTCCTGCAGTGCTGTATTATAATAATGTCTCCAGGTTTTGTTATAGTTGACTTTGTTTACACAATGTTTATGTAAAGTGTCCAGGTGTTGTATGTAAAGGTGTGCAGGCATGTGTGCATTTGAAGGGACGTGACAGTGTGACTTTCTCCCCATCATGGCGTCCTGAAGACCAGCTGTTGTTATTTTTAATCCTCAAGGGCTGCATTTCACAGCAGCAACCACCTCCCCACCAAGAGTAGTTTTTTTTACACGTAAGCGCACACACACGCTGCTTCTACATTATTCATGTGAAAATTATGGCATCTTTATTCTGTATTGATGAATTATAGATAGCGGAATATGAATATGATATGCCAAACAATTGTGAAAGCCAAGGCTGACAGACTGACATGCTTGATTTTCCATCTCTGACGCAAACAGTTGAATGCACTTTATCAGAATAATTTGTAAAAGTATAGAAGTATTAATCTGATGGTGGATGAAACTGAATGAAGTAGTGAAGTAAATGTAAAGCTGAAACTATATATCTCCGATGACCATTCATTGAGAGTTCTGAATCTAATTATACAATTTACTTAAATTTATAGTTTTGTATTAGCAGAATGAAACAAGTCACATGTAATCTTCTACTACCAGACAAAAGCAAAAAGACAATGACATTTCATATATATATTTTTTTTTAAATAGCCATTTACCTTAAGTCAGTTTTTGCAAATGTCCGTCCTCGTCAGAAGGTTTCAGTTTTTCTGAACTTCTCTATGCCAGAAAAATAGAACAGATGTGTTTCTTTCTTCAGGGAGTTGTGGGTCTTTTCGTCTAATTATACAATTTACTTAAATTTATAGTTTTGTATTAGCAGAATGAAACAAGTCACATGTAATCTTCTACTTACAGACAAAAGCAAAAAGACAATGACATTTCATATATATATATTTTTTAAAATAGCCATTTACCTTAAGTCAGTTTTTGCAAATGTCCGTCCTCGTCAGAAGGTTTCAGTTTTTCTGAACTTCTCTATGCCAGAAAAATAGAACAGATGTGTTTCTTTCTTCAGGGAGTTGTGGGTCTTTTCTCTGTCCTATGTTTCTTTTGTCTTGTTTTGCCGAGTGCTCTGAGGTGAGCCGGTTAGTGTGGCTGCAGAGTGGCCTGCTGTCCCATCTGTCTCGGGCCCTGACCGCTTACTCAGCACCGCTAAATTTGGCCCCTAGCTCAGGTTACACAGAGCTTCTCCTGCATCGGCTTGCCAATTTTCAGCGGGTGTGGAGTTTACTGCCCAATGAGAACACAGGAAAAGAGATCACATCACTGGCCTGGAGACCTGATGGGAAAGGTCAACTCCAATAATATTTCACTGCCTTTTTTGTATCATTAGAATTGGACATATCAGGGTTATTATAGTTAACAAAACCATAAAAAATTTTACTTGGGGGGGAGGCACTCCACTGGTTTAAGAGAGGTATTTGAGACGGATATGGAAACATTGTAGTAAAATTAAAACCGTTTTAATTAAAAAAATATATATATTTTTGGAAGAATATTAATAAAAACTAATAATATCTATTGATACTAGGGCTGCACGATTATGACAAAAATCATAATAGTCGATTATTCCTTTGAAATTGCGATTATTAATTTACGATTAAATGAATGATGTTTACACCTTTGTTTGACGCAACTGCATGCCATATTTTTATATGAAAATAAACAAGCTGAAATTTTTTTATTGCTTTTCTATAGTATCAAGCCTCAAATGTCAACTATAAATCGGATTGGTTTCTCTTTAATAAAAAGGTAAAAATATGAATGGTATTATAATGTTATACTAAAACTAAAATTAAAACAATGGAAAAACCCTTAAGATAACATGTAGAAAGAAAAAAAAGCATCTTAAGCATGCAGAATAACATTAGTAGACTTTGAACGATTATGTAATTGTGGCATCCGTAATTGTAATTGCGATTAGAAATGTAGTCTTGGGCTGTCTAGTGACCTCAGGTCCCTCTCTGTTATAACCGAGATTAGATCTGCAGAAGACAACCCTGAGATACATTACATACAGGTAAAGTCTGAAAACACTAATAAACATGATTTTTATCCCAACATTGACATTGTCAGCACTAACGAAAAAGGGGAAAAAATGCTTTAAAAAACGTGCCAGATTCTTAGAAATGTACTCTTTGTATTCATGTTGGTGTCATATGGTTCCGAAAAACATTTACACCATATTTAAGAACAGTTTATATGTAATGACTCTAAATAATCTTGTGGTTTAACTATGAAGTCAAAGTTATGATATATTTTTCTTACACCTTCATTACATGTGACTGTGACTATATTAGATTTCATGAATTAATAAATAACAAAAATCATAATTGTCGATTATTCCTTTGAAATTGAAATTGCGATTATTAATTATGATTAAATGAATGATGTTTACACCTTTGTTTGAAGCAACTGCATGCCATATTTTTATATGAAAATAAACAAGCTGAAATTTTTTTATTGCTTTTCTATAGTACCAAGCCTCAAATGTCAACAATAAATCGGATTGGTTTCTCTTTAATAAAAAGGTAAAAATATGAATGGTATTATAATGTTATACTAAAACTAAAATTAAAACAATGGAAAAACCCTTAAGATAACATGTAGAAAGAAAAAAAAGCATCTTAAGCATGCAGAATAACATTAGTAGACTTTGAACGATTATGTAATTGTGGCATCCGTAATTGTAATTGCGATTAGAAATTTGAATAATTGTGCAGCCCTAATTGATACTAAGATAACATTGAGACATATCACTTCAGTCTTGTTGAAGTGTACTTTACTTTTATTCATTCACTCATGAATACACCATTCATGTAATTTATTCATCTTATTCATACTTTTTATATCATTTCTAATTTATAACATGCCCAGGTCCAAATTAACCAGATGTGTCCAAAATATACACTTTTTTTTAAATAGCCATTTAGTATTATAGATTAATTGTATTATTTATTTTTCTAAATGTACATAGAACTTTATATTATCTTGTGCTTGTTATCATTGTTCTTTTTGCTATTATTTTTACATAAATATTCTTGTATATATTTCTATCTAACCTTTTATGATCATCTTGTAGAACTAATTTCATCGTCAAACAAGTGCTGCTGCTGATTCATTGCAGGTTTCACAACTAAAACCCTAGATTTAAAGCAATGTTTAATGTCTTATTGTTTACATTACATGACTAAAAACCTCAAATAAAATTTCAACCATATACTGAGGTATCTACCAAGCCACCATTGTCATGTTATATGATTGCTGTCTGTAGTCCTGGCATTCAGTGTGGGAGACACAAAGCAAGTGGTGCTGTGTGATGCAGAGAAGGCAGAAATTCTCCACCTGTTCCCTGTTGAATACCCAGCATCCTGCATGCACTGGACGGAGGTGCACGGTGACAGCAGGTGTGAGTTTTTACATAGAGAGGATCCATTTTCTTTCTCTATTGATTACGTGGTTTCATTAATCTGGTTTATTTTTTCTTCTCTAGCACATTGTCCTCATTCAGCGAGTCTGAAGATGAGTCCAGTCGTTTTCTTCCAAAGTTACCCACTTTACCTAAGAGGTGAGATTCTGAGCTTTTGTTTGTCTTCCAGATGGCTGAATGAGAAGTACTGGTCACTCTTTAGTTTTTATATTTTGTAATTGTTTTTATTACTTTTCCATTTTCCTTTGTGCTGTGTTTGTGTTCAGCTACAGCACCACATCAAAGATATTTAGGTAAGAGGACATTTTATGTGCTTAATATGCTGATTATTTGTATTTTTCTTTGTCATACTCTTTATGATTGGTCATCTGCATGCGGCATGTGTCAGTTTGACTGTGTGTCCGCTCTGCTTAATTCTTATGTGTTATGTTTTTGTCTTTTGCAGTGAAGAGAAATCAGATGAAGTCACAAACCTTTTGGGGGAAGTGAGGTCAGTGTTTTATGCACTGAGTGTTTTCTGATGTTGTATTGTGACTGATAATGTGTGATGTTTATTTGCAGGCTCAATATCCTGGTGGTGGGGGGACCATCTGGATTTGTGGAGCTGTATGCATATGGCCTGTATAAGATTGCTACGCTGAGTGGAGTAAGATATAACATTTTCATTAATAAAAATGAAGTAAATTAAAAAAAAAAGTAAAAGCAGAAAGTTAGTAATGTATTATTTACTTCATGTGCCTCTCAGATCTCAGGGACGTGCCGTAGTCTTGGGCTGTCTAGTGACCTCAGGTCCCTCTCTGTTATAACCGAGATTAGATCTGCAGAAGACAACCCTGAGATACATTACATACAGGTAAAGTCTGAAAACACTAATAAACATGATTTTTATCCCAACATTGACATTGTCAGCACTAACGAAAAAGGGGAAAAAATGCTTTAAAAAGCGTGCCAGATTCTTAGAAATGTACTCTTTGTATTCATGTTGGTGTCATATGGTTCCGAAAAACATTTACACCATATTTAAGAACAGTTTATATGTAATGACTCTAAATAATCTTGTGGTTTAACTATGAAGTCAAAGTTATGATATATTTTTCTTACACCTTCATTACATGTGACTGTGACTATATTAGATTTCATGAATTAATAAATATCATTAGTTTTTTTGGAGAGGTTTTTTTTGCCATTATGATGTCAGGTCATATTTTATCTTTATGCCCCAAAAATAACATCAAGATGGTGGATCGGTTACTTTCTCTTTTCTTAGTCTGACAAATGTAACGTTTCAATCCACAAAGTGCTGAATCAACACCAGTTGAACTCCAGCAAATTTAATTATGGTGTAATTATATCAGTACTATAAGTTTATGTAACTGTTATTTATTGAAGGTTGATGTGCAAGTAAACAAAGTGCAACCAGGTTGAGTCACACATAACCTTATACTACCAGGTTACATGTGGCGTCTGTATTGAATGGAATGTATGAGGTTGATATCAATGGTTAACAGTGACTGTGTTGCAGCTGGACACTGGACTGCTGTCTTCATGTTTGCCTGAGTTGACCAAGATGGCACGCAAGTTTACACACATTTCCACGCTGCTACAGGTGAGAGTCATCACTCGTGTCTCATAGAAGCTGTATCCTTTTTTTATGCACACAGAGTATCTTTCATTCTCTTTCTTTGTTGTTTTAGTATCTGCGTCTCTCTCTCACCTGTATGTGTGAAGCATGGGAGGAAATTCTTATGCAGATGGACCTTCGCCTCACTAAGTTTGTCCAGGTTAGAGTTCATCACATCTGAGGCATCAATATCCTGGTGGTGGGGGGACCATCTGGATTTGTGGAGCTGTATGCATATGGCCTGTATAAGATTGCTACGCTGAGTGGAGTAAGATATAACATTTTCATTAATAAAAATGAAGTAAATTAAAAAAAAAAGTAAAAGCAGAAAGTTAGTAATGTATTATTTACTTCATGTGCCTCTCAGATCTCAGGGACGTGCCGTAGTCTTGGGCTGTCTAGTGACCTCAGGTCCCTCTCTGTTATAACCGAGATTAGATCTGCAGAAGACAACCCTGAGATACATTACATACAGGTAAAGTCTGAAAACACTAATAAACATGATTTTTATCCCAACATTGACATTGTCAGCACTAACGAAAAAGGGGAAAAAATGCTTTAAAAAGCGTGCCAGATTCTTAGAAATGTACTCTTTGTATTCATGTTGGTGTCATATGGTTCCGAAAAACATTTACACCATATTTAAGAACAGTTTATATGTAATGACTCTAAATAATCTTGTAGTGTAACTATGAAGTCAAAGTTA